AAACAAGGTTGTACTTCTTCCCACTCCTTTTTGACATGTGAGCTAAAGAGATACCTGTGTACTTTTTACATTTTTTTTTCATTTTATTTTTCCCTGTAGGTTCTTTACTTTTGCTCGTCTCTTTTTTTTCTTTTTCTTTTTTTGCTGAATTTGATGATAAAGATAAAGTCTTGAAACAAGTGAGTGATTTGTTAGCTATGGAAGCTAAATAGTGAAGAGGATGTTATAAAATGTCAGTCAAATTAAGGAGGATGAGTATGGATGTAAAAACAAAACTGGCAGTCAGTATTACCTGCGTTCCTCCTCATCCAGCAGTGTCCTGTAGCAGCTGATCTCCATATCCAGCTCCATCTTGACACAGAGCAAGTTCTGGTACTTGCAGAGTTGGTTGGCCATGTCTCCCTTCATCTGGTTTATTTTGGAGTCCAGACTGTCCTTCTCATGTTTGTGATTGTCCTCCATGGTCTTTATCTACATTGACAGAAAGATTAAACAAGTTTTTTGTGTTCAGAGGAGATTCAGAGATACTCGTTACGTACTGTGCTTTGGAGTGAGCTGATCTCAGAGGTGAAGTTCTGGATTTGGCTTTTTAACTCTGTGATTTCCTGCTGGGCTTTTGTCAACTCGTCACGATTTTTATTAGCTGTCCTGCGCTGTTCCTCAATCTGCAAAAGCAAAGGTCAGGTGATAGTTAAGACAACAGAAAATATCAGAGATCTAAATGAAATACACTACATGAAACAAGGTAATGCTTTTCAATGAAAACTGGCTCTCAAATATTTCACCTGGTAAAATAAAGGCCAAAAAAACAAGTAAATAAATAAAACATGCATGCTGCTTTTATATATATTTTGTATATTTTTGTATTTTTATTGTAAACAAATATCCAATGTTATGTTATTCTTTTTGTATGTGTAAATTTAGTGGATGTTTTTCCTCCACTCATCTTGGCACATCCTGTTTTTATCTAAATACCTTGTATTCAGTTTTGTTGTTGTGAATTTATTTAGTCATTTAAGTTATTAGATGGATTTTGTTGCTGCAGTCTGGATTTAGAAACAACAAAGTCAGAGATTATYCCATCCCACAAATCATTTTAAATGGACAACAACAGGATGATGATGTTGATGTACTTTTCCTTTCAGAGGTCTGCATTTTAATACAGTTGATTTAAGACTGGTTTATACTTCCACAAAATGTTACACAGAATATCAGTGATATTGTCATTTTGGACATATTTTTCCTACTGGGTGTTCAGAGTTGTGTAGATCAGGGGTTCTTAACCTTTTTGACCTCGAGGCCCAATTTGTTGAACATAAAGTGACACAAGGCCCAGTCAGACATTACC